GATAGATAGATAGATAGATAGATAGATAGATAGATAGATAGATAGATAGATAGATAGATAGATAGGTAGAAAGAAAGATAGATAGATAGATGATAGATAGATAGATAAATAGATAGATATATGGATGGGTCTGTGGATGGATGGATGGATTGATGGATAGATAGATAGATAGATAGATAGATAGATAGATAGATAGATAGATAGATAGATAGATAGATAGATAGATATATAGATAGATGGACGGATTGATGGATAGATAGATAGATAGATAAATAGATAGATATATAGATAGATGGATAGATGGATAGATGGATGGACGGATGGATGGATAGATAGATAGATATATAGATAGATAGATAGATAGATAGATAGATAGATAGATAGATAGATAGATAGATAGATGGACGGATTGATGGATAGATAGATAGATAGATAAATAGATAGATAGATAGATAGATAGATGGATAGATGGATAGATGGATGGACGGATGGATGGATAGATAGATAGATAGATAGATAGATAGATATATATATAGATAGATAGATAGATAGATAGATAGATAGATAGATAGATAGATAGATAGATAGATAGATAGATAGATAGATAGATAGATAGATAGATAATAGATAGATAGATATATATATAGATAGATAGATAGATAGATAGATAGATAGATAGATAGATAGATAGATAGATAGATAGATAGATAGATAGATAGATAGATAGATAGATAGATAGATAGATAGATAAATAGATGGATGGGTCTGTGGACGGATGAATGGACACACAAACAGGCAGACAGAATGCTTCCTTGAATAATAGCGCAAAATGTATATTTTATTCGATAAACTATTTCTATACATACCATATATAAAAATATATGTATGCATGCAGTATGCGCTGTTATACCATTCAACCGATAGCGATAAAATTTTTGTGAGTTGTTGTACACCCCCCCCCCCCAAATGCTTCTGAATTATTAAACACATTTTACAACATCCCGTTTATTATTACAAAATTATTTTACCCCCTTTATGAGCTAACAAATATAATTTCCGTATGTGTTCCTATACCTTTTCATCTGAGTGCGATAAAACTTTTGTAAGTTCTGGTGACCACGCCTACAAAGGTTTCTGAATTAGGTTATCCTTTTGAAATATTCCTGTTTGGGCCGGGGGCCCTAAAAGTTTATTTTCGTATATGTGCTATAAAAATATAATTTCAAACAGAGCGATTGCATGCGCTGATGGAACTGAATCAAATACAAGCGTCATTTCATTTTGTGTGATACATAATAAGTTTGTTACTGAATTATAAGACCAGTTTAACAATTTTTCTTTTGGGGTGAGGGGGCCCTATTTTTTAATATTTTGTTTATGTTAGCTATATAAATATAATTATTTAAAACAAAGCTACTACATGGGTGGATCAATCGCTGCAAGTGAGTGGATTAAATTTTGAAATCCATGCTTCTCACGTGGAAAGCGCTATGTTGTCTGCTCACATGTCGAACAACCTTCTAATGTATAATTTGTTTACGCACCAGATGGAAAAAAAGTTCCTATTTAAAAAATTACCTGTATTTATTTTTTATTCATTTAGACATTTTAGTATAGCGCTTACCTTACAGCTATAAGCGCTTTACAATTTTTAAAAATATGTTAACTATTTAAACTGCTAAAGTAAAATAAAAAATGAAAACAAGAGAGACCAGAACAGTAACTACAATGTTAAAAGTGACTATCAAAACAGTAGCTAAAACATTAAAAATGGCTACAAAAACAAGAACACTTGGGCACATTTTGGCATATACATTGAAAAAACATAAATACAAAATCAACCCGAGAAAACGTAATTAAAATACAAACACTATTTTTCTCTGAGTGGTATTGCAATGCATGCCGGGTTCTCGCTAGTATTTAAAAACGGATTTGGTCTTCAACAATTTTTCCGTCAACGCAAGCAATTTCGTTAATTTTGCAGGTTCAGCTTCGGGAATTTCTTTCTTCTGTTACACAACGAGATGTCTGTGTTGGACTTTGAGAATGAACGATGCGTCCATGATAATTCTACCACGACTGTCAAAAATGGTGAATTATAGTTATCAGTCGTTTTAATAATAACAATATGTAGTCATATTTTAAACAACTTTCGGATATTACTATTTCATACTATGAAAAAATGAAATTTCTATGAAATGTATAAACATACATTCTTTTTTAAATATTTAAATGTGTAATGTTATCGATTTAAAACTATTTCTTTCTATTAAACATATGTCATAAATTTCATAAAATCTCTTGAGTTTAAGCAAATGACAACATCTTTAAAATATATTTCAATTTTAGAGAAAAAAATATTTAAAATTAATTCCCTTAAAAACAATAAAATCTCAATTATTTCCCTTCAATAATTTCTTTGGTGATGTCCCATTTACTCATAGTGTTTATTCTCCAAAATGCTAAGTATGCAATTTAAAAATATGTGTCATTGTCCATGTGTTGAAATATTGATTTGATGAATTTTCCCTCAAAGAAATATGTTTGGTACAACTTCAGTATACGAACTTCCAAATTCCTCGCCAACCTAACCTCCCACCAACTTAACCTACTGCACACTTAACTTCCGCGCGATTCCTCCCAACAGAAACAGGAAAATTAAGAATTAATGGATTTATATTCACATAATTAGCAATGCGACATTCTTCAAGATCAATCATTATAATTGTTTTTTTAGTTGGGGGGGGGGGGGGGGGGGGTTGCGGCTTTTTGCATTATACGATAAATGTAGAATTTTCCATTTATTATAGCTTTCACATGTGTAATATAAATATTACATTGATTATAGCTTTCAAATGTGTAATATATTATTTATTTTCATCTTTCTGAAGTTTATAGATATTAAATAAAATTACTTGAAATGCATATATAAGTACATGTCTCAGATGCAAATATAAAACAATATTAGAAGGAACACTTCCACCCAACAGACCCCAAACCTCTTTAAGAAACACTAAAATTCACTTTCGAATGTTCTAGCTATCTACATCTAACATAGGCTCTGTGTAGTGACATGGGGAAGGGTGGAGGGGGTGGTCAGCTCCTAGCATTACATTTTTCTTTGTATTGGGGTACCGCATTTCTGCCCAATGCAGAGTTGTGTTTTTTTTATGTTTGTGTGACGTATTTGAAGACTTAACTTAGGCGACACTGTCACATAGATTTAGGCAATAATGTCACATAGATTTAGGAAACAATGCCACATAGATTTAGGCAACGATGTCACATAGATTTAGGCAACAATGTTACATAGATTTAGGCAACAATGTCACATAGATTTAGGCAACAATGTCACATAGATTTAGGCAACAATGTCACATAAATTTAGGCAACAATGTCACATATATTTAGGCAACAATGTCACATAGATTTAGGCAACAATGTCACATAGATTTAGGCAACAATATCACATAGGCCTAAGCAACAATAACACATAGGCCTAAGCAACAAGAAGAGAACACTAGGAATGTTGAAAGCGAATTTGAAAACTCTCCCAAAACAAATGACAACTATCAAGATCCAACACAACGGTGACAAGAATCATAATTAGCTGAAAGTGATCACATAATTATGAAAGGACATGTTTTTTTTCTGGGACTTTTTTATAGTGATTAATTTTTCCTGTGGTATTTCCTATGTCAATTCATCAGCACCTAAGATAAGAACTGTACAGTTGAAAGTTAGCAAGAGAAACACACGACTAATACATCTGCACCTTAGATAAAATCTTTATAGTTGAAAGTTGGCAAGAGAAACACAAACATAATGCATCCGCACTTTATTGTTTAACTAGGACAGGCATTAGATAGACAGGCAGACAGACAAGTAGACAGTTTGTTCCACAAACATTTCACTCAAGGTTATGCTTGACATTCTATTATTGTTATAATTGTTTAATAAAGGAGATGAATACATGGACACATGGAAACAAAGAAATTGATGAAACAACATGTTAATTGTTTTCATTGGATGGTGATAGGTTTGAATAAAGGATTTGCTCGCTTTACACATCAGGATGTTCTGATTTCCCTTTACACCTGTGACATCATCAGCGACTGACGCACTGGTGTGACAGTCACATGTTTACATGTTTAGTAATGGAAATAGCAAACTGTCGCAGTTTGATAAATGGGGCTGAAGTTCATTAGGAAACCCAGTGAGTCAAATATCATTTGCTTGCCGTGTGATTTGAGCTAGCGCTACTGAACTGTCGATGGCATCACCCAGTTTCCAGTCCCCAGTAGCCTCATACACGCCCCCATCATTATTACGACAAATTATATTACTATAATTATCTTAACAAAAAAATGTGTGCTAGCACTTCATAATATCATCTTTGCTAGCACTTCATAATACTATCTTTGTTAACACTTCATAATATCATCTTTATTAACACTTCAAAATGTCATCTTTGCTAGTACTTCATAATACCATCTTAACCATTACTTCATAATATCATCATTGTTATTACTTCATAGTATCATCTTTGTTGACACTTCATGATATCATTTTAGCTAGCACTTCATAAAATCATCTTTGCTACCTCTTTAAAATATCATCGTTGATAACAATTTATACATATATATATATTTTTTTTTTAAAGGCGAATTGTAATTAGAATCTGTCGCTGTATAATTTTAAGTTTTCGGGTTGGGGTCGTGGCGTCTCATGTACACATAATTGATGCGTACATCAGTGTTGTCAGCTTTTACCTACATCGACTTATTGCTTACACTTTAACAAATGAGAATTGTGTCGTCTGGTCGTAATAATATACAAGAAACAACCTTGACAGATAATTATGAAGCTAGTTTGTGCTGCCAGAAACGGGCCAGAATTTTCTTCGCCCCTGTCGATTGAAAAACTTTGCAGACGGCCGTAATGCAACCCTTTAAACCAGCCCCCCCCCCCCAAAGTGCGGCAGTATCCACCTCCCTAATCACCGCCCTTGCTACGCTACTGTAATGGGTCTGAGATCAGGTCATAAAACGGGAATCACACCGTCGAAAATAAACACGGTCATTCCAATAATGATGTTTTTGCCCTGCAAGTCACCACTAACAGTGCCTTTTGTTTGTACGAGGTTCGTCGGACCTGTCAACTAGATACATCTATCTCCCACTGCACACGGCGGCTTGTTAGTTGTGAGAAAATGCGTGCCATAAGCTGTTGTGTAGTGTCGCTTGTATTTGCTGGGCTGTTGACAACGGAGACTTTGGCTGCAGGTAATATTCAAGATTTGGATCTAATCGATTTGATAAGAATCAAATGTCTTTGATTAGGATCAAACCTCTTTGATTAGGATCTAATCTTTTTTACGTCCAGGCGTTAGAGTTAGCGTTATAAATGTATTTTTTTTTTAAATGAGACCATCAGCTGATCATGTGCATGATGGGATATTTTGTTTTGTTATAAATTAGAATGTTTGTATCCCTAACGAGTTGTGTTATGCAGATAAAGACGTATGTTATATCACAGCATAAACGAAACACCACTATACGGAAGTTATTAAATGAAATTCTTCACATTATTTTGTTAATGAAAAGAAATCTTCTTCTTCTTCTATATCTTAAGGGCCCACGATCAATTTATTGATCATTTTGGCTCCTATGCTATAGATTTTTCAAATGAGTCCACGAACGAACTCCTCTGATAAAATGTGAGCTAAAGTTTTAAAGGTGACACATTAGGGAAACACGAACACCTTCAGAAATGTCTCCTTAAATTATACTATTATTTGAAGTTGTTACGTACCATTGTATGGTTTTTGCAAATTTAATCGGTTTTAGTTTGGCTCGTTTGGCGAACAATGTGTAACAATGGACAGAATACGTGTATACAAAGAACAACAATAACAAAGCTAGCTATTATTAAAAAAAAACAACCCGTTAAATCTTATTAAAATAGAATAAATGACCCGATGTTATCGGGATAATAATGGTAGGTCCTTTGCGATAATTTCTAAATGCTATTGCAAAAACTAATCCCAATTCATAACTTTTAAAATGTAATGATATTTACGTTTCTAACATCATTAAGTTTTGAGAAGTGTTTATCTGCTAAATATGATACGCGTACCCGACTACCTTTCACGCTCCTAAACGACTTTTCCCCCTCTAAACATGACCTATAAAATTCATTCCTTTATTTAGAGACTTACCTTGTTCTCCCTTGAGCAAAATGTACATACACATATTTGTAAAAAAAAAAGAGTATGCAACATATCTTTTTTCACAAATGTAATGCCATAGGATTTAAATGTATTGTTATCCAAGTACAAATGTACACATCCTATTTCCTACCTCCGATATGTATGTACCCAAGAAGGTTATTTATTTATCAAATTCATTCCTTTATTTTGAGACGTGCTGCCTGGGGAAAAGTGACTAACCCCTCCCCCACCCACATTTATATAAAATTATAAAATCGTCCACACCCATATCCAACTTAACAGATTTTGCACTTCATATGGTTCGTTCTTATTTGTATGAGTTATAAGTGGATTAGTAAATGCTATTTGGCTATGGAGTTGCGCTGCACGGATTGACTTAAACTGGTTTTTCTTATCAGAATTATATTTAGAGGTTAAGTTTTTATTACGTTATAAATTTAATAAAAGTCTATTTTTGGAATTAAAAAAATAAAACTTATAAAATGTTAAAATACAAAGCTAACATTTTTGTCTGGCTTATTAATTTTATTTAAAGAACAATCAATTAAATTTAATTTATCTTTTAAGAAGGGGAAATACTTGATCAGTTTTGTAACGCGCGGTTATTAAATCAAAGAAACTTAAGAGTTTTGGCAAACATGTGCAATTCGCGCTATGACGTCACTAGCGTGTTTATTAAGAAGAAATTAATTTTACTTTTATTTCGCAATATAACAACGCACTAAAAAAAACTGATGTTTGGGCTTTCCCGATAAATGTGATTACCATGTAATTCTTAGATCATAATTTTATTATGATTTTTTTTCCATAGCTTTTAAATTTGGATAAACTGCTTAAAATAGTTCCTAAGTTGTTACTTTAAATGTATTTGTAATCTTTAATAATAATACTTAAACGTTTACTAAGATTAAAGCGGATTTAAAATAATTTTTGCGCATTTAAATTTATTCGATTTCCGTAAAATAATAGAAAATATCAATGATTGATATTTGGAATCTGAACCTACTTAAATCTTCTCGGTTCTTTGGCGTTATGTCTGCATAGCTTATTCTTATATATAGGTTAATCCTTAAATATGCACTGTGTGGTGTATACCCTGTTAAATTATACAACGTGTCGCTAATACACTTTATGGTTTATACACTGTATTCTTTAAACACTGTGGTTTATACACTGTCTTTATACACTGTGGCGTTTATACAGTGTCTCGTTTACACACTGTGTGGTCTATACACTGTAGTTTACACACTGCATAGCACATAGATACAAAAACAATTCACAGTCATTAGAAAATGCTCAAATATTGTTCTTGTACAGTTGGAACTCTCATCAGAAAATAAAATTGTAATCTTTGGCTGTTATCTTGTCGGGCCATGCCAATCGTTACATATTTGAACCTGCTGAGCCAATTTTAAAAGCAGCTGTCACTCGAGTTAAAGGTATGATTAGACAGGATTCGTTTTAAGCGACTCATTCTGACAGTAGGGACAGGTCTACATTCATGTTCAATTCTCATCCTTACATCCCGAGGTCATACTCGAACAACTCCTTTTTCTAGCTCTTCAAAACCGATCCACACTTATGGCAGACCGTGTCAAAAAATCTTATTTTTGAAAAACCTCCCGCTTTCGCTTTCCGAACGGACAAGGTTTAGGGACATGCTTGTTAGAAGCCCCCTGACTGCCTTTAAAGCACATAAGGGCACCAAAAAGATCAACCGTAGCCTCAGTAACACATGTCACTACGTTCTTCCATTGACAGTAGAACCCTCTCAATCCCAAGAACTAAAACTAAGACCATCGGTGAACGCTCCTTCTGCTTCCATGGGCCCACGTTCTGGAACCAGCTCCCCTTCCATATACGTCATAGTGAAACCTCGTCCATTTTCAAAAAGTCCCTTAAAACTCATCTGTTTAGGTCCGCCTATGACCTGTGATGCACCCTCCTTGCCCTACCTCATTTTCTGTTTCGGGTTGATCCTGAAGTGTCAAAGTGTCCTCGTTTTATAGCCATTTTCATTGTTTCTATAGAATAGTAGTTACTATCCTAGTGTCTCATTTGTATTTACTTAGTTTACATGTTTTAATAATTGTAAAGCGCTTAGAGCTTCATGATAAGCGCTATATAAAAATGCCTAAATAAATAAATAAATGTCAATATGTGACTGAAGTTAAGAAGATCCCTTGCCCTCCGAGAATATTCAAAATAAAAGATAGTTTTCCTTGCACAAGTGGTGACGTGATTTACACTTTGTTAATTTTACGGTAAATCATTTGAATGAAAGGGAGGTCGTAACCTTGGAGACTGTTTTAGAAAACACCTGTAAGCCCTTTTACCAGTTTCCGAACATTTCCATAGTGCTAATCATATTGTAATTTTAGACATTGGAGTTACTGGTATATTTTATGCAAGTAATACACCAGATATAATTTATATGGAGAGTCAGTTAATAACATGATTTGGTCCGTTGACTCCATACGGTATAAACCAAATCAACAATTTTACACAGCTGCAATTTTTATCTGTTTGTTTGTTTTTTTTAAATTTTGTCTTCCACCCACTTTCTTTAAGTTCTTCTTAACTTTGTTTTTTCTCACATTTTAGGTTGGGTAGACACACACAAACACACAAATATACACACAAACACACACACACACACATATATATATATATATATATATATATATATATATATATATATATATATATATATATATATATATATATATATATATATATATATATATATATATATATATATATATATATATTTTTTTTTTTTTATATTTTATTTTTTATATACACACACACACACAAAAATATACACATATACACTCACACACACATATATATATATATATATATATATATATATAAAGATATATAATTTTATATATATATATATATATATATATATATATTAGATAACTTTAGGTAGGATACATTTAAAATTAGGTACACTTAATTTTACTTATGTGAATTATTTTTTTTTCCTTGTCCTTATGAAAATGTTTTTTTCAGAAATATCTACATTTGTATTCAGTATGATCATTGTTAATGCTGAACCTATATTGTTTTATTCACAAATTATTAGTGTCTAATCATTCTGTTTGAAAAATTTGTCGCAGAGTGATAGGTAATCAAATCATTGAACCATGCTCCAGTGGACGCATTATAGTACAGCCAGAGAGTGCTCATCAATATATTTGATGAGCTAAACAGAGGTTAATCCTATGGGATTAACATTACATAATACAATATCAAGAAGACCCTTGAATATAAGAGCAGTTCCTGATGCATATTTGAACTTGATTATATGACAAAATATTTCAAAAAGGGAACCGCCAAAATATAGCTGATTTTTATGTATGTTGATGTTATCATATGTTTTATTTATTTATTTATTGATTTAGGCATTTTTATATAGCGCTTACCTTAAAGCTCTAAGCGCTTTACATTTATTAAAAACATGTAAACTAACTAAATAAAATAAAAAGGAGACATTAGGATAGTAACTACTATACTATAGAAACAATTAAAATGGCTATCAAACGAGGACACTTTGGCACGGTTTGGCCTATACTACAGGATCAACCCGAGACAGAAAATGAGACAGGGCAAGGAGGGTGCATCACAGGTCATAGGCGGACCTAAACAGATGGGTTTTAAGGGACTTTTTTTTTTACTATGTAGAGGTTTCGAATCTCGCACGAAAGCATGGGAACGGCATTCTGATCCTTTTTCATATAACAAGTGTTTCACTGCATTTGTTAAGAAATAAATACATAATTATTTTTAGTTATAGTGGGGTCTTGCGTGATTTCCCCATACTGTTTTCCCATTAATTGACCTCTCATATATCAACATATGTTTTAAAGCGTTTACATGTTAATATTTGTTTGACCACACGTATATCTTAAATGATAACACAAATCTCGCTATCTATAAATGTCAATATTTTTTAACCGTTTTGCAATGTTAACATACGTAATGTTGAACTACATCTTGATGTTAGCTTTTGTTTCAGTTGCATGCGAGTTCCAGTGCTCCGATGCCCAAAAGTGCGTGCCATACTCGGCTGTGTGTAACGGTGTCAGGGATTGCAACGATGGCTCAGATGAGACCATACATTGCAGTAAGTGGTTCTGAAGTCATAGCCAATTAGTGAGTGGGGGAGAGGGGGGGGAGAGCGTGTTAGCAATGCTATTGATTTTTGTGTGTATAAAAGAAAGAAGGGGGCACGGAAGGTATGCTTGTTTTTGTGCACGGGGCTATTGTCACTGTTAGACGCAGCGGGACTGATACTAATTTAGGCTGAAATCCGGGAAGTGTCAGTTACTATGAATGTTAGCCCCGTGTACGCCCCGTGTACGCCACGTGTAATGAGTTGTATAGGTTGTTTTGAGGATTTGTTTTTGTGAACACATGTTAGGAAGGCTCACCGGTCACATGACTTAGTTGCAACTCATTAATTTGGTAAACGCAGTCGTCTGTACATAGAGATGTGTCATTATATGGTGCTGTCTGTACATACAGATGTGTCATTATATGGTACTGACTGTACATATAGATGTGTCATTATATGGTGCTCAATGTACATATAGATGTGTCATTATATGGTGTTGTCTGTACATATAGATGTGTCATTAATTATGTTGTCTGTACATATAGATGTGCAATTATATGACGTTGTCCTGACATATAAATGTGTCATTATATGATGTTGTCTGTACTCATAATTTTGTCATTATATGATGTCTGTTCATTTAGATGAAAATGTAGATTGAAGTATTTGGTACACCTTTTTATATTGTATGCTAATGTTGGGATCGTATTTAATATGTGTACATGGATGCTATTATTGTGAAGTATATAACAGGTCGGATGTGTAAATCGATGCTACTATTGTGATAGTATGTAACCGTTAGAGTTATTTATATTGGGTGAAAATCTTATGATGGTACATGACATGTTTATAATAGATGCTTAAGTTATGAAGGTATATAACAGGTTTATAAAGGATATTGCAGTGCGAATGTTCTATGTAAACTAGTAGAACTTAATACCCGCTACATATTTCAGACACTTGTGGCCCTGAGCGCACTTTTTGTCAAGGTGTCATGAAATGTGTCCCTTTGTCAGCCATCTGCAATGGAGTAAACGACTGTGGAGATAACTCAGATGAACGGAACTGTCCGCAGGGGGTACTCCCTTAACAAACCCAATTTAAAAAAAAATGTTACACGAGATCATTTAAAAAAAAAAATGTGTTTGTGTATTTGCGTTTTAAAAATCAAAGCCTATTTCATGTGTCTGTTTATTTCATGTATCTGTTTATTTCATATGTCTGTTTATTTCATGTGTCTGTTTATTTCAAATATCTGTTTATTTCATGTGTCTGTTTATTTCATGTGTCTGTTTATTTCAAATATCTGTTTATTTCATATGTCTGTTTATTTCATGTGTCTGTTTATTTCATGTGTCTGTTTATTTCAAATATCTGTTTATTTCATATGTCTGTTTATTTCATGTGTCTGTTTATTTCAAATATCTGTTTATTTCATATGTCTGTTTATTTCATGTGTCTGTTTATTTCATGTGTCTGTTTATTTCAAATATCTGTTTATTTCATATGTCTGTTTAATTTCATGTGTCTGTTTATTTCAAATATCTGTTTATTTCATATGTCTGTTTATTTCATGTGTCTGTTTATTTCAAATATCTGTTTATTTCATGTGTTTGTTTATTTCATGTGTCTGTTTATTTCAAATATCTGTTTATTTCATTTGTCTTATTGAAGAATCTCATGCCAGATCATTTCATGTCTGTTTACGTTCTATGTTTGCTTATTTCTGATGTTTGTTTTCATTCCATATGTCTATTTATTTTTCCTTGTATGGTTATTTTAAAATTAGCCTTGAATGGCGTTCCCCTAAAGGTGGTACGCGGCCTGGCGACGGTAGGCGGAGTCTTACGTTGCTGGTCTGCTGAAGTAACATGATTGAGTGTCGCTTCAAAACAATCTTCAAAACTCGAGACTGTCTTTAGTATAAAAATACCCTCGGGTTGTGCCCATCAATAGGAACCGGGCAACTTAGCACTATGTGCCATATAGCAGGCCCGCACTAGAGACGGTGGGCTGGACGCATGCGGCCCGCACAAGTTTTCATAAAGTGTTACGGCCCGCCTTACATTTTGAGTTGTGCAGGCTTGCCACAAGGCATCAAGTTAAAGACGACACAAAAGATGCCTAATTATTGTAATAAACATTTTCGACGTTACAAAATCTGGCAACACAAATGAAGGTTGCTATGAAAAAAATGGGGATGCCAATTAACACAAACTGAAACACGGCGAATGAATCCATGTGAACAGTATTTCTTTATGGCATCAATCAAAGGGCGTGAGGGTGGGGGGCTTCAACCCCCACCCCCCAGGAGAAAGTCAACTGCCCCCCTCCTCCTTTCCGCGGTAAAAGAACTGGGCTACGATAAAACAAAAGTATGTTTGATGAAAAAAAAATTAACAAAAGAAGAGTACGCTGAGCATTTAACCGATTGTAATTAGTGGAACCTATGTAATATCGCTACGCTCGATAGATTTGATTTTCCATATTATTAAGACCAATCTTATTTAAGGCGTATATTAAAAATGATTATAAATCTCAAATTGCTTCGAAAATTGTCCAAACCTGGTGATAAGCCAAAGTCTTACCGGTCCCTGATCCAATGAGCAACTTATCCACCAGTTTCTGTTGCAATGAGAAACGTATCCACCGTTCCATGATACTTAAAAATATGAGAGATGCTGGCTTTGAGGATGATATTTCTTAACACCATTTTTTTTTCCATGCCTGGTACAACTTCACACATTTTTTTTTCAATGAAAATTCCATTAATAAAATCTCAGATTTTTAAAATTAATAGTCCATTCTCTAATTATAAATTTACCTGAATGTATTTTGGCTTTCAATATTTTCAATGACAAAAATATTTATTACCTCTTTTGACAAAGTAAGCCCTAATCTCTAAATGAAAGAAAAAGATAAGTCAAATAACTTTTCCTCCCCCATCAAATCCGTTACAAGTCATCTCTACAGTGTTCTCAAAGTCACGTGAGGAGGATATGCATTCATAATACTGGCACCTTTTGTGGATATTGTATCATGATAGGATGGCTTTATGAAGATAGTGCTCTATCATGACAGGAGCGGAATTTGGGGGTGCTATTTAAATATAATAGGATCACAATTTTTAGGATGCATTTAATCATGATAGAGGCGCCTTAAGGGTTGCTAAAATACGAGGGACAATACCCAAAGGTGTATTATTTAGGTGGGGCATTCACTTTGGAAAGGAACTATGTTAATAACGCGTTGAACTGAATTAGCTACTCTGATTCCTAAACTATGCATGACCAGGTTAGGGATAGTTGGTGCGTTACTTCCAAAACTTTTATAAATAATAATAATCATAATAATAATAATAAAGTTCATTTCAAAAACACGCTTCATCCCCAAAGGCTCGAAGCGCGGTACAAAGTCAACAAAAAACAAATCTATAATTTACCACATTTAAAACAAACGCAACACTACAAAAAGCTAATTACAAGCATACCATGTCAAAGTCTTTTAAATGTCACTACTTTCACTACATACAACAGCATGTCGTAAATAAACCAATTAGTTGACTGTAAACGTGGCTTAGAGGTTACGTCTCAACTTACAACCTTGCATGATGCCGTAGAACTAAATCTATTCGCCCCTAAGCTGACCTGACATTCAGCATATATCAGTGTCCAAGAGGACATCCATTTTACGTCACATGGCTTACTATTAAGTCCTCCTTAAATGACACTCTGGCGACACTGTCAACAAAGTAGTAGAGAGGAAATAGTGGGCAATGTCTTAGTAACTGTTATTATTGTACTTTGTAATCTCTGCCCCTTAATAAAACAAAGTGTAATGGTAGGGGCGTCGTGTAATGACTTGTGTAATCCGGTGCGGTAAACTCATCGTGCTAACCTCCATAAGTCCCCCCATACACCAGTTTTAACTTATATCTGTTGCAGAAACAGATAAAATAAGATGAGATAGTTGTCCATATTGATTCAAAGAGATGGAAATCTTTATTTGGGCCCATGAGCACGATTAAACTTTTGGTCCAAGAGACTCTTTATTGTTTTTTTTCCGCAGAGCCATGACATGTTTTGCCCCCAGAGCCATGACATGTTTTGCCCCCAGAGCCATGACATGTTTTGCCCCCAGAGCCATGACATGTTTTTGTCCCAGAGGCGTGATATTATTTTTGGTCCCGAATACATGACATTGTCTTTTGAGTCGTGAAAGTTCTTGTCAGATTATTTTCTAAGCTCTAACATTGTTCTGAAGTAATGCGTTCTGTTTATGTTTAGCGTTTCTAAGACGTTTATGGGTTCTAGAGTATGCGCTTCCAGTGAGAAGAGATTTTAGGCGTTGGATTCAAGCGGATTTTCGGTTGTATGTTTTAATCACTCCATTTGTTTCGTTGATTTACTACAAGAGCCCGTCAACTCCATGATGGTGTGATGGCCAGGGTGATGAATTCTGGATTTAGTCTGGGGGGCTTTACCTGTTGCTAATGGCATAAAACAAAGCTGTTTACTTGGCCGAAACATTTTTTTGCATGGTATTCTCAGCAAAGATGACTGATGTTTGTCTAAGCAGTAATGACGGCATTCCTATAAGATTATAAGATTATAAGATAAAGAAGTGATTGAAGAATATTTTATCTTAGGAGACCGTAAGCTGTTACGAAAGTTAGGGAAAACGCTGCTCGAGATTTTTTGTTTGTTGTTGACGAAGGATTGAAGATACTTTCCATCTGTTTGACATCACTATAACATCCCTTTGACATCACTATGACATCCCTTTGACATCACTATGGGACCACTAGCATGTGCATTAAATGCAAGCTGGGAACTGAAAATGTATAAAATAATTGATCGATTGGCTGAGGCCTGTGAGAATACGAAAGAAACAGAGATCTTGCACCAACCAACTTAAAAACTTAAAATGAAACTAAAACATGCTAATAATATTGTTTGTAAGTTAAATCCTGAGGCACAAAACAAAAAGAAAGAAAAGAAAACAAACATAGAATGTGACGTAAATGCGTTTAAAAATACGTCCAAATCCCTGAACAGATTAAACGTTCTTTCCTGGTCTTCAAAGATGAAACCCTGTCAGTATCCAACTTGACAACCATACAGTCAAACAACTTGACAAGGAATGTAGACCATATGGTCAAACAACTTGACAAGGAATGTAGACCATATGGTCAAACAACTTGACAAGGAATGTAGACCATACAGTCAAACAACTTGACAAGGAATGTAGACCATATGGTCAAACAACTTGACAAGGAATGTAGACCATATGGTCAAACAACTTGACAAGGAATGTAGACCATATGGTCAAACAACTTGACAAGGAATGTAGACCATATAGTCAAATTACTTGACAAGGAAGGTAGACCATAAAGTCAAACAACTTGACAAGGGAGGCAGACCATATAGTCAAACAACTTGACAAGGAAGATAGACCATATAGTCAAACAACTTGACAAGGAAGGCAGACCATATAGTCAAACAACTTGACAAGGAAGATAGACCATATAGTCAAACAACTTGACAAGAAAGGTAGACCATATAATAAAACAACTTGACAAGGAAGGTAGAGCATACAGTTAAACAACTTGACAAGGAATGTAGACCACATGGTCAAAAAACTTGACAAGGAAGGTAGACCATATGGTCAAACAACTTGACAAGGAAGGTAGACCATATAGTCAAACAACTTGACAAGGAAGGTAGACCATAAAGTCAAACAACTTGACAAGGGAGGCAGACCATATAGTCAAACAACTTGAAAAGGAAGATAGACCATATAGTCAAACAACTTGACAAGGAAGGTAGACCATATAGTCAAACAACTTGACAAGGAAGGCAGACCATATAGTCAAACAACTTGACAAGGAAGATAGACCATATAGTCAAACAACTTCACAAGAAAGGTAGACCATATAATAAAACAACTTGACAAGGAAGGTAGAGCATACAGTTAAACAACTTGACAAGGAATGTAGACCACATGATCAAAAAACTTGACAAGGAAGGTAGACCATATGGTCAAACAACTTGACAGGAAGGTAGACCATATAGTCAAACAACTTGACAAGGAACGTAGACCATATAGTCAAACAACTTGACAAGGAAGGTAGACCATATAGTCAAACAACTTGACAAAGAAGGTAGACCATATGGTCAAACAACTTGACAAGGAAGGTAGACCATATAGTCAAACAACTTGACACGGAAGGTAGACCAGATAGTCAAACAACTTGACAAAGAAGGTAGACCATATAGTCAAACAACTTGACAAGGAAGGTAGACCATGTAGTCAAACAACTTGACAAAGGAGGTAGACCATACAGTGACAC